CGTCGAAAGACGCGCGGCGAATGTGGTCAAATTAACATTGCGCGATACATGTCTGTATATGAAACCGTGCTCTTCATGTTCAAACTCGAACAATGCGTCGAGAATGTATACTCTGAGCTGTGCCAGTATACGCATACCATCAATGAAAAATTTAAATCAATATTTAGTCCGACTCATCGATACGGTCGATGTCAAGTATACGCGATTCTCCAACATCGCTTCCGAAGACACTATACGCGATAGCGATATTTTCAATGGACATCAGCTCGTCGATTGCGAGCTATTGGCTTTAGTTTTTAATACACACGAAAAAAACCTGATGTAATAATATGTGAATAAAAATTTTGTCGTTCACATCAAATATATATGTACTTTCTTTGCTTTCCTTCCATCCATCCATCCTATGCCTCGACGTGCTCCGTTTATGTAAACATCTGCGGACGCTTCTCTTAACGCGCCGTGTCACTAATCATATACGTGCGTATGTATGTATGTATGTATGTATGTATGTACGTATAAACGTATGTATAAGAAAAAAGAAAAAAAAGGGAATAACAGGTATGAAAATAAACGCGCGCAATTCGCAGGTTACAATTGATCGTTTTTATTTTATATCATTAGGCACACTACTTAGCAACGTCGCAATGCGATCTTTAGGCTATATTATAAAGAGTACCGCAACGATATAAGCGATGGCTTTTTCTCGTGAAGGCCCTTATGATCCAAAATGTTTATATACAACTGCCGCCCATAGATAAAGCCCGGGCAGGCTCGCTCCAGCAAACGATAGATCTCGGCGTCAGTCTTTGTTCGCGCTCAAAAGTACTGTAACGTGAGTGCCTTTTTTTAAATAAAATGTGTAAAAGTATTCCACTATTAACGCGAAATGGTGGAATACTTTTACACATTAGGTGGTTAAATAAAAGTGATAATTTATAGTGCAGCATAGAAAAAAACTTATGAAAAAAAAACTTGTGAAAAAAACTTGTGAAAAAAAATTGAAACGATACGAGTAACCATCCAGGTGAATAAAGCTGGATATAGAGGACGTCCTCGACGAGGAGGATGTCCTCGCCGAGGAAGAGGAGGAGGAGGAGGAGGAGGAGGACATCCTCGACGAGGGCTTCCTCATCGAGGGAAGCGTCACCCTCGTCGACCTGTGTGCGTGTGCCTTAATCCCAACTTAAACAGCAGTCCAAACAATATATTTAACTTGAGTAAATACAGTGCCTGTCAGAAGTTCTGATGAACGACTAATTATCTAAGAAAGTATTGACTCTATCGGAAAAATATTTTAAATAAAAATTGTATGGCTTAAAAGATCTATTAAGAGGCGATATTTATTTCAACTTTGAAAAGCACAGTCAAGGTCAATAAAAAAATAAAAGTAAGAGTTTCCATTTAAGATTTTTTTATTGACCTTGACCGCGCTTTTCAAGATCATCTAGAGTTCAAATAAATATTACACCGCGTAATGGACTTTCTTAAGTCATATAATTTTTGTCTAAAACATTTTTCTCATAAACCAATGAGATAATTGGCTATTCCGGAACTTCGGACACGCAATACATATTAATTTTTTTACATAGAAAGTATTTATTTGTACAGATATAAAGATTAGAAATAAAATCAATAAAATCAAAAATAAAAATTGACACAGGTATTTAAACAATTTTTTAAATAATCTAGTTAAATATAAAATGTTTTGAACATTTATTACAGTCATTATTATAATTATTATTATTAGTTATACAATTATTTTTATTAATGAATAATTTACTAAAATAAAAATAAATAACGTCTACGATAAAATAATTATGTAATACGAGATGATTAAAATAATCTACACATTTAGAACTGTTACGTCCAAGCCCTTGGAAATGCGCTTAAATGGGAGAGACAAGGATGGAGTTATAGAGGGTATGGAAGGACGTTTAGACTTTATCTCGCAGGTA